TCACCTCAGCTATTGGAGTTAGAAGTTTACTTTCATTTCTGGGCTGACAAAGGTCACCCATTCTCATTTCATCTTCCTCTTTCCCTTCACAGCACTCCTGGTCTTGGGGCACAAATGAGACACAGATTTTGGGAGCAGAACGGAAACCAGTTTACTGCACAGCAAGTAGAGAACAATTCAGTAGGGGCAGAAGGCCCAGCTTCTGCAGCATTCCTGGTGCCAAAGAAATGAGAAACATGGACTAAAAATAAAGTCTAGCATCTGCTCAGCAACCCAGAAGTGTAACCCTAAGGGGTCACTGGGCCCAGCCGCTGTCACACTAATAACCTAGGCACTGGGGCAGAGTGAGAAAGACTAAGACTGGGAATCATACTCAGGTCTTTACCATGGCAACAAAGATAATGTCAGCAGGTCTCTGCTATGCTCCCAGCCCTAAAGGATGAGGACTGCAAATGGATCTACGTTTTCTGCACAGAACTCACCCTCAGAGCTCCAGCCTCAGGGAGCTGAAAGTCCATGAATCAGATTTCAGTCTCCTACATGGCTGTGCAATTTCAACAGAGGGCAATGGTGACACAAACCTCCTACTAGGAGCAGCATCAGCCTGCCCCACTGGGAACAAGGATTAGGCAGGTCTGGATGCGCTGTTGGGGTCCAGATCCATTGGCTGAGTGTGAGTGAAGACTGTTCTGTGGGAAAGTGCAGGAGGAGGTTACTTGGGGGATTTCTCACAGATCCATGGTAAATAAGCTGCACAGCTGGAGGCCTGGAGGGCACCGCTCACCAGGACGCCACAGTGCTGCACGGGGCTGTTAGAGATGACCCTGCAAAAGAGACACAGAGAACACAGACTGAGGAGAAATAGTAAGAGTCATCACTAAAAGGCAAGGCAGAAAACTCTTTATGGTTGTTGGGGGGAGGTGACAGGAACAGCCTCAGAAGGGGCAGCTGTCACTGAATCCAAAACACACACTAATAGAGACTGCGTATATAGACCAACCCCCCGGCCCATCATCACCACGAAACCCATGCCAGTACTAGACAAGGACACGGTGCAGTGAATTAACTTTAGCAACTTGAGTGATGTGTGTTCGTGCCGGGGGCATCTGGGTCAGGAGGAGAGTGGCAAAGCGGATTTCTTTAGAATACGAAAGTTGGAATTCCAAAGCGAAACTGGTCAAGTAGCTAGAGCATAGGACGGGGAGTCATGAGAGCCTCATCCTACTTCTGTCAGTGACACACTGCGTGATCCTGTGCATGTTGGCTCACATCTCTGGGCCTCACCCTCCATATCTGCAAAATAGGAATACCAACACTGAGCTCCCCCACCAAGGGGGTGTCAGGCTAGCTCATTACTTGGAGTGCTTTGAGAAGGTGCTAGAGAGAGGGAAAGTGTTCTGCCATTATTATAAAGCCCCAGAGCCAAATCCTGAGGTCCTTACTCAGGCAACAGAATGAGCAAAAATGAAGGCTCAAATGCTGGTTTATGCTGCTGTAAATCCAGAATAATTTTACTAACGCCACAGGGCCTATGCCATGTCTACACTATAGAGACTATAGCCGTAGCTATGCCAGTGTAGGAACACCACCTCCCCAGGTGACAGTAGCTAGGTCAATAGAAGCATTCTTCTGTTGACCTACCGGCAGCGGGGCTTAGGTCGGCACAGCTACGACTCTCAGGCGGGTGGATTTTTCACACCTGAGTGGCACAGCTATGTCGACCTAAATTTTAAGCGTAGACCAGGCCTAATTCTTCACTGACTTGAACTTTTTGTGCCACTTGCACCAGTGCAAAGTGGGTGTGAAATGCTCCCAAATCAGAAAAGTAGGGCTTGATTCTGATCTGATTTAAACCAGTTTAACACCAGTGGGACTCTAAACTGTAACCAGTGTAACACTATTAACTTCAGTAGAATAATTCTTGATTTACAGAGATGCAGGTAACATCAGCTTCAGAGCTGTAAGATTGTATAGCTACTTTTCACAGGTGTAAATGGTGTCATACTGTGCAAAGTGGTTGTGACGCTCCCCAGGAGTACCCAGGGCTGTAAGATACCTCACCACCACCTGCCATTAGCATGAGGCAGTCTTGCCTGTGCCTGCTGTAACACAAGAACTGCCGTTCAGGCCTCACTCTCACTCTACAGGTTAGTAATAGGCACACACCAACCCCAAGTCTTCCGAGCCTTCCCTGAAGTGTCCAGCCCCAGTATACTAGACACTCACAGAATTACCAGGCCTGTTGTTTCCAAAGGAACAGTACACAACAGCTTGTCAGATTTAACTCAGGACCAGCATTTTGCTTAACACCACAGCACTGAGATATATTTATAGTAAAAACAAGAATAAATTTATGATCAAAGCACAGAGATGCAAGTGATAGTGAGTATGAGTATTAGAAACAAATGGTTACATACAAAAGAAAATCATAACACTTTCTAGAGACTAAACGTAACTAACCAGTTACACTCCTGTCTAAAGAAGCTTATCTCACCCACGGTTCTCTCAAGTGTTTTCAACTAAGCCTAGCTGAGAACAAGACCCCTCTTTCATGAAGCAAATAGGCTACCCGTTTACTTCCTAGGTGAAGGATGACATGGTGTTGTCTTGTCTCCCAAATATAGTAGAGTAAACTTTTGATGTGCACCTCAAGATAGTGTTCTCTCCCCCTACTCCACTGTGTGCTTCTTCCTGTTATTTTTCTCTCTGTGATGTTTTACAATCCTTCATTAAGGAATGGTCTAGAGAGAATACTTAGTCCTGCCATGAGTGCAGGGGACTGGACTAGATGACCTCTCGAGGTCCCTTCCAGTTCTATGATTAACATTCAGTTTAGACTAATAAGAGAAGACCCATTGTGAACCACACAATACTTAACATGTAAACAGCCATATAGATAAACATTTCTTGTCTGTCAGAAGACCTGTTATTGCCAGTGACCAGTCCCTAGACACAGTCTATAAGAACTTGGTTTTTAGCATATTTACGTAACTCCTTACGTAACATTCGTACATGTGTTTCACAACTATATAGATGACCAGTGTGACATCGGATTTTATTTGAGACCTCACATGACATTCTTTTGTGAACTAGAATGCACGTACCAGACCCAGGAGTTCCCGGTAGCTCCTCTGCACCTCTTTGCTAGCTGGCATTAAGAGGGTCTTGGGTCAGAGTGGTAGAGAAAAAGGCTCAATGGCCTTGGAGTCATGCTGATGGCGGTAGAGTAGAATTTGACGGTGCATAAGGTCTGGTCTACACTTAGAATTTAGGTCAACATAACTACAGCACTCAGGGATGAGAAAAATCCACATCCCCTGAGCACCGTAGATATGCTGACCTAACCCCTGGTGTCAATGCAGCTAGATCAACTGAAGAACGTTTCTGTCCCCCTAGCCATAGGCACTGACTCTGTGGGTGCTCCAGCCCTGGAGCACCCATGGAAAAAAAATAGTGGGTGCTCAGCACCCACCAGTTGCTCAGCGGTGGGCACTGAGGGGAAGGGGCAGAGAGGGGGTGAGAAGAGGCAGAGCAAGGCAGGGCATACTTGGGGGAGGGGACGGAGCAGGAGCGAGAAGAGGCAGAGTGAGAGTGGGGCCTTGGGGGAAGGGGTGGAGTAGGGGCAGGGCTTCAGGGTGGAGCGGGGATGGAGCGCCCATCCGGAAAGAAAAAAGTCAGCGCCTGTGCATCCCTCAGGAATATGGTGTTCCTACACTGACAGAATAAACCCTTCCTTCAGTGTAGGATGCATCTGCACTGTGGGGTTATGCCAGCATAGCTATGGCGCTGTATCTATACCTCAGTAGTTTTGCCTGAGCAAGGACTGATAAACACGGTTAGTATCGGATGATCTAGCTCTTCAGAGGCCTGCTGGTTTTTTTAAAAAACTGAAACCAAACTCACTTTGTATTGTTGAGTTTTGAGCCATCTTCCCAGGTCCAGCCACTGCCTGTGCTGTTCCTCAGACCAATCCAGTGGTAATTTATGTGCATTCTCAAGAACAGGTCCTAGAAGGGAGTGGGGAAGGACAAAGGAACTAATCAAAATCAACCTGAAAATTCAAGTCCTGATAGGCAAACGGAGCGATCAAATGTCAGGTAGCAAAATATATCAGCTGAGCCTGACTATTATCAAGGACCTTTATTTTCAGTGATTATTTTGTTTAAAATTTCCTGGGAATTTCATCTCTGTTCATTACAACAAATTTAAAATGTGTGAAAATCAGTGCAGAAACTTAACTTGACAGTTTTCTGGGAAAATATCATTGTTAATATTGGGGGGACAGGAGGATAGAAAAAAAAAGTAACAAAAAAGTAAGAGTATTGAAAGTAAAAGCAGTTTAATGCTGTGGTTTATTTAATGAACTGTACATTAACACCTTTGTGACTATATGTACACACATGCATGTGCGTATCTTCTACCACATTGCCTTACTTTGACCAACAGTCTCACACTTTACACTTAGACTAACTTATTATTAACATAAACACATCTAACTAATGGAATGCATTGGATTTTCTTCATGTACTTGAGTGGGCCAAAATTGGATGAAAAAAATCAATAAAAACTGAATAATTACTTGTGTAAAACTTGGGAATTTTTCAGTAAAAACTGCAAATGAAGTTTGCAGTTTTAACTACTCTTCATGTGAGTGGCAAGTGCTTCCACCTTAAGAAATGCTGATAACTTGTCTCCTTTGCTGCTGTCCCTGCCTTGTGTTCCCCAAATCTTCTTTTTATAATTAGGGGGTAAGCAGCAGCCCAATCCTGGGAGTCCTGTCTTGAGACATGTAGCACACACTGTGTTCAGAAAGCAGCAAATCACAACTTGAGGTGCCTTGTGTTGATACTGCAAAGGAAGTTCCCAGGGCACTAAGTGAACTCAGAGTGCACCCGCCAGAGTCTCTTAGATAAGGGTCCTACATTAAAAGCTATAGGGCAATTTCAGACCAAGTCAGGACAGAGGTGCACAGGCTGAACTCAGTGCGGCTACAGGGCAGGATTGATAGGCATTGGCACAACTATGTGGGGAAGCACAGGACTGGAATAGGCATTGGCAGGGCAGCATTGAGGTTTCATTAAGACACAAGAACTTTTCCCCCACACCTGGGGTGGGCAAATTTTTTGACCCGAGGGCCACATCTGGGTATGGAAATTGTATGGTGGGCCATGAATGCTCACAAAATTGGGTGTTAGGTGCGGGAGGGGGCGAGGGCTCCGGCTGGGGGTGCAGGCTCTGGGGTGGGGCCAGATATGTGGAGTTCAGGGTGTGGGAGGAGGCTCCTGTCTGGGGCAGGAGGTTGGGGTGCAGGGGTGAG